AAATCCTGTGTGTGCCCATGGCAACCTTTAAGGGCTTGTTCACACCATGTCCATTGAGCTGTGTTTTCCTGCACATCACTGCACATGTGTTGTTTGAACAGGACACATAGAGAATAATTGTTTTTCTTTTTTTTGTGCCCTGTTCACACCATAGATGTATGGTGATGTGCAGAAAAACACACCTCATGGACATGATGTAAATAAGCCCTTTGTGTATTGATGGAATGATGCACCCAGAGGGGGTTATTCATAAAGCTACCGAAGGCAGCCAAGTGAATAAGTGAGCCGAACGCATTAGGCTATTCACTTCAGCCCTGTACGGCTCATTTCAGCTGTACATTGGCCAAAATCAGCCATACATCGGCTGCCTTCGGTTGAGCCGAAGTGCAGAAGCCATTCGACTCAGCTAATCCAACATCTGGATCAGCTAACCTGTAGCTCCGGCAGCTCACTTGCTGCCTTTCGCCCCTATTCTCATAGGGGCTGAATGGCAGTGAGTGAATAGCTGAATGCTGCTGAGCTTCATTCGGCTCGGCTATTCTGCTTGCTACCTCCGAGGTAACGAGCAGAATAGAAAAAATTTAAACAAATGAAAAAAAAAAATGTTTAAAAATGATTTTAATAAATGTAAAAAACAGAAACATTTAAAAAGTTAAGAAAATAATAAACAAATGTAAAGAAAAAAACAACAACGTGGGGTCCCCCTCCCAAACAATACCAGACCCTGTAGGTCTGGTAGGAATGTTAGGAGGTACCCCATTTAAAAAAATGAATAAATAAATGCACGGGGTTTACCCCAAAAGTCATACCAGGCCCTTTAGGTCTGGTAGGAATTTTAAGGAGGAATCCCACTCCCAAAAATGGGGAAAAATATGGGGGTCCCCCCTAAACTTCCCCACCAGACCCTTGGTCCGAGCACAGGCCTCGCAGGGCTGGAAAAGGGGATGGGGCCATATGCCCTGGGCACTGGGAGGGTGCTTTTCCAGGGTCCCCCTGGAAAAG